CGTGTTCGATGTTATGAATTGTTCTACACGATGAACAATCGGAAGATTCAGCTTTGCCAATTTTATGAAGATAGTATTTAGTATATGCAACATTGAGCCGCAAACGATGTAACACCGTCTCAAGTTTCCTTGGTAGTCCTCGTGGTATCCGGAATTCGAGTTTAGGATCAGTACGGTGAAGGCTGTAATAGTGATATTGCGGATTTTCCCATAAAGATAGTGAGATTTCATTTCCGATAGATTTGATTAAAAGATTGGCATCAGATCTTGAAAACGGAATAGATACAGCAATTGTGCTCTCGTGGGCGTCTTTAGCGGCTCTATCGGCGCACACGTTTCCAATTATCCCGGAGTGGCCCGGAATCCACTGCAAGATGAAGTGATGTCCTTGATTCGATGCATACTGAATAGCCTGTAAAATATCATGGACTAGTTGTGAGTTAATGTTGTCTTTTCTTATCGAAGATAGAGCGGACAACGCAGACCTGGAGTCAGTGTTGTACGGAACGGCGTTCCAAGGAACGGCGTTCCTGGAACGCGTTCCTTTTAGGAGGAACGAAGGAACGCCGCCGTTCCATTTTGCATCGCTGGAACTGGAACGGGAACGCGTTACATTTTTACTTGAACGGAAAGAGTAACGGCGTTCCTTTTTTCGTCCAGTAGAGTCATTTTTATTTTGTTTCGAACAGGGAAATTTTGAAAGTACAAAAACGTTATCATTACGAAGTGCAGGATCTCGGATCTCGTTACCTTTTTGGATACTAATATTGTGGATTATTTTGTGTAGTCCTCGCTTGCTAACAGTTTCGGGTGCAGGAGAGCTGGTGGACATTGATTCTTTTTTGAGTTCCCGAAACCGCGGTAGAAAAAGCAAGGCTTTTAGTCGTAGGAAAAGACAAAGAAAGAGGGTTGTTTCAAGCTCAGCTACTTTCTTTGGTTCCACGAATCCTCATACACCCAGAAATCTAAGGCCGACTACAGCTACTTGTGAACTTCCATAACGGGACCTACAGTTTCAGCAAAATCACAGACTGCCAGACATCGAACGCACCCTTGTATCCCGAACATTGGTCACTTAAAAGGTACAAAACAAAAAAAACAAAAAACATTATTTCTTCTCTTGTCCCCCCACCTTCAAAATGAACAACAAAGCCAGCCTTACAAAGAAGTATTTGTAGTTTTTAAGACTGACCTTCCAAAAGCCCTATCCTCTCCTCGACTTGCTCGTCTTGCGGACAGCAACATCGAGAAGCAACTGTTGTTAAGTTCGAACAAGGGACTTTGCTCAATTGAAACGTGTGAGGTTGCTGTAAAACGCTCATACAATGTTGGGTAAAAGTACATTCGGCTCGTCTGAATCGTCCACTACAAACATGAATATGGTTAAAAGATGAGATTTTTAATTTGAATATATCAACAGATGAAACCCTGCTTCCGCTTGTTTTCTTCTCCTGTTGCCCTTCCATAACGACATACAAACTCGTATGTTGACTATTAATGGGATAGATAAAAAAAACCTCCGCTTGATTAAACTAAATATAGTAATTAGCAAAATACAAATGTAACGTATATGTAACGATACGTTCCATTTTTTAAACTGTAACGGGAACGAGTTCCTTTTTCACAGATGTAACTTGTAACGAGAACGCGTTCCAAAAATCAGAAGGAACGAGGAACGAGCTTTCGTTCCTTTTTTTGAGGAACGTGTACAACACTGCCTGGAGTCGACAAGTATTGCCCAACATCGTGGGCGTTCAGTGCCCGCGTGTACAACAGCTGCACGAATAGCTGCTAGTTCTGTCGCTGTTGATGAGGTGGCGTGGCTTAGTTTAGCCTTTATGTATGTGGCTGTGGATGGAATGTATACCCCCAGGGCTGAAGATGTGGGAATTGTAGAACAGTCGGTGTAGATATGAGTAAATGACTCGTAAGTTCTTTGAATATATTCGAGAGATATCTGTGTAATTACCGGGGAAGGAGCTGAATTTTTTTTAGGGATTCCTGGTATGCTTGTTCTTATTTCCAAGTGAGGGTACTTCCAAGGTGGATATTGTGGAATCGCAGCTGCCTCAATTGAACTTGGCATATAGTCTTCTAGTACCATAATAACATGCGCAAAGCCAGATGATGGTCTATATTTGACAATGTCTACCAGGTGGTGTTTATACACTCTGGTTTTGTGTCGTAGATGAGCTCGCAGTGTTTCTTTCGTCCTTAATATTGCGGGAGATTTCGCACGAGATTCCGCCAGAGTTCCAGAGGTGGAGGTACATTTTGGCAATCCAAAGCAGGCACGAAGTGCTTGAGCTTGCGCGCTTTCAAGTTCTTTAAAACAAGACCGCGAGACACGTTGCATGACTGGCAAACTGTAGCGCATAAGACCGACAAATAGAGCGTTATACAGAGTCATCAGCGCCGATACAGAGCATCCCCATCTGGTTCCACTGATCATCTCGATTATATGTGTAAACGAGGTGAACTTTTTCTTTAACCGTTTAATATGGGGTCCCCACGTCATTTGCCTATCGAGAGTCACGCCCAAAAATGCATGTTCGGAGACATATGGGATTGGGGTTCCTTCTAAGTTAATGGGGTATCTGTATGTTTGTTTCATTGTAAACGCCAACGCCGCAGACTTCTCTGGTGATATGTACAAGCTTCGGCTGCTAAGGTACCGTGCGGCAATGTTGAGGGCTTTTTGTAGCCTGGCTCTGTTTATATATAAAGACTTGCTCGATGACCAAAAACATATATCGTCAGCGTATAAAGATACATGCACAGAAACAGGGAGTACCTTCAGAACTCCCTGTTTCTGTACTTTCAGTCATATGCTGAACAGCATTGAACTGAGTACCCTACCTTGGGGAACCCCCTGTTTGACCTCATGGAAGTCAGTGTTGCCATCTTGTGTTGATATATAGACTTTAGCTGGAAATCCATGTAAATAAGCGCCCTCCGAAACCAATCGCCTTCATGTCGGAAAGTATGGCCTCGTGTTCTACCGAATCGAAGGCTGCTTTTATGTCAGCGAATACTGCGGTGGTGACCTGCTTGACTGATTTCATTTGCTCTATGCTAGACACTAGATCTATAACGTTGTCAATACTGCATCTGCCACGTCGGAAACCACTCATAGATGAAGGATAAATGCATCTATTTTCAAGATCCCACTCCAGGCGTGCAAGCAGCATCCGTTCCATTATTTTGCTTATGCAGCTAGCTAATGCGATCGGGCGATATGAATTGATATCGAATGGTGGTTTCCCTGGTTTGAGAATCGGTATTACGCGAGCGATTTTCCAATCTTGGGGTATAATGCCAGTCTCCCATGAGGCATTGAATAAAGTCAGTAGGGCCATTCTAGCAGTTTCCCCCAAGTGACGTAAGGCTGAGTAGCGTATGCCGTCTGGACCTGGACAGGACTTAGTGTTGGATGTAGCGAGTGCTATGTCTAGTTCCTTTAAGTTGAAACGGTCGTCTATAGAATTACATGCACTTACAGGGACGTGACCATCTGGGGCATCCTTGCTGTGATTGTTACCGGAGGGGCAGCTTGTAATCTTTATGCAGAACTCTTCTGCCACGACTGTTTCAGGTATTTGCCGTCTCAAAGAAATGGCTCTGAAGGGGTGAATTTGCTTTTGCCTTACGCTGAGGCTTCGCGTGATGTGCCATATTCGGGTAGTTGGCTTCCTGGGATCAAGGCCGGAACTCAGTGACCTCCAGCGTCTTCCTGAAAGTTTGTCTAAGTGCCGCTGTACATGTTTTTGTGCTCTTCTGGAAGCCTGAATATCTTCAACGTCTTGTGTTTTTCTCGCTTTTCGTTCAGCCCTTCGACGGATGGCACGAAGACGCTCATATTCTCCATCAACCGTTGTCTGCGTGTTTGTCACGTTGAAATATTTTGTTGCTTCTGAAGTGGAAGATGTTATGGCATTCACAAAAGATTCTGTTCCAGTGAGCATAAAACTGACAGCTTCCATTTTTTCTTGAAATATTTTCCAGTCGGTAGAAGGTACCGAGAAGCGTTGTTTGGAACAACGCAGACCTCTCACTGTGGTGTATGTCGGTGCATGGTCACTTCCGTGAGTTTCAATGTCAGCGAACCATGTAGTTTTTTCAGCAAGACGTGAAGATGCAAACGAAATATCTAAAGGGCTGTTCACTGATGCACCTTTAAAGAATGTAGGACTTCCATCATTTAGTATTACGAGATCATGATTTAGCGTAATTCCAAGTAATGCCCTTCCTCGAGCATTATTCTTCGCACTTCCCCACAGTGTGTGGTGAGCGTTAAAATCTCCTGTCAGAAGACGTGGTGGCGGGGTTTGTTGGAGAATAGCTTCAAGTCTCTTAGTGTCAAATTTTGCTCGAGGAGGTATATAACCAGTTATAACACTGAATGAGATATCGCCTTTTTTATAGTCACAGCAATATATTCATTTGTCCTATGGGACGAAATATTGTGCTCAATAAATGTTAGATCTTTTCGAATGCCGAGTAATACTCTGCTAAGACCGGTTTCTCTGTGGGAGTGAAGAAGCTCATAACCAGATAATCTGATGTTAGGTCCTACTCTTGATTCCGAAATTGCTACTACAGGAAATTTGTGTTTGAAGAGGAATTGCCGAAAATTTGACAGCCTATTTCGAAAACCTCTTGCGTTCCATTGAAGGACAGTGGCCTCACTTCGTAATTTATCTAGTGACACCAGAGCATCACGAATGAAAGGACAGCATCAATCAACGTAATAAGCGCTTTGGCTATAGGCGAATCCCAAGAGCAAAGAAGATTGCGGATGACATTGACAACTGTCTGAATCTTGGCCTCAGACATTGGTGGTTACTGTCGTGTAGACTTCTTTTCGGGTCGTTTGGTTTCTCCTTCTGATTTATCAGTGGATATTGAAACTTGTGTGGGAAGAGTTGGAAATTCATCATCACTGTTCCACTTGATTGGGGGATTACTCGTGTTTTTCTTCGCGTATTTCTGCAGGTGTCTCAGGTTGGACTGCTTGGCTGATGAGGAGTCTTCGCTCGTTGGGAGTTCTTGAGCTGATGGTTTGTTTTCCTTTGACGCAGTCGTTTTAGGGGTCTCTCTGCCAGTTGTTCTTTCGATGCGAGCAGCGCCACTTTCGCGGACGCATAGCCAACTTTAGCTTGGCTTTTGTACTTGTATATCTTTTGTTCTCTTTGGTATGCCGGACAAAGATGAGATGTCGAGTCATGGGCTTTACCGCAGTTCGTGCAGAGGGGGTTGTCTGCATTGCAGCCGGTGCGTTCATGTGGTCCTCCACAGCGTGTGCAACGTGACTCTTTCGTGCACGCGGTTCGAATGTGTCCAAACCCATTGCACTTCGAGCATTGGCGAGGTTTCTCTACAAACGGTTCCATGCTGTATCTTGTATATCCAATCGTGATGTATTCCGGCAAAATGTCTGTGTTGAGGACAACCTTAACAACTTGGGACGTGCCTAGCCGACGAACGGAGATAACAGGCGCCGTAGCTCGTATAGCCACCTGAAGTTCCGTGTCGTTTATGTCTGACGGTACTCCGTATACAACTCCGATGGCCGATTCACGGGGAAAAGGCTCGTAGGCCTGGACAGGGATGCCTCCGATGGTGGTCAGTGCAAGCAAAGCTTTTGTCGCATCTCTGTTTCTCGTGTCTATAGCAAGTAGATTCAGCCTTCGGTTTGGCCTGACAAGGATGATTCTATCTGGGGCAGTCATCTCGAGCTTCTCGGTGATTTTCAGTGGATTGATTGTGGCGATTATTTTGGATGGATCTTTTGGCTTCAGTACCACTACAAGGTGGGGATGTTCTTGTTTCGTGTTCCTGACGGTCTTATTACTTGTCTCGGGGCTGCTGGAAGCTTTGCGTTTTTTGCGACTCTGGACCAGATTATATGGGTCGAAATCGTCACCGGGATCGTCAGAGATGCTCTCGTAGTAGGAGATTGTGCTCGGAGCACTTGACATACCCATAGGCAGATCTTCCATTTCGACTGAAGGTATGTCCTGGCCGGAGGAAGGGCCGGTTTCGGCCATGGCAGATCAGCGATCGACTCAATTCGAAGAAAATGCGTTTGGCTGGCCAGGGAGGTGAGAACTTTGATTAAAAAGGAAAAATATAGAGACGAGCTCAGGATCAGCAACGATAAGTTCGACTTCTTCCTTTCCCCTGAGTGCGTGAGGGGCGTGATGGCGCTGAGTGTGTGAGTGGCGTGAGGGTCATGAGTGCGTGAGGGGCGTGAGGGGGATGAGTGCGTGAGGGCCGTGAGGGTGGTGAGTGCGTGAGGGATGTGAGGGCCATGAGTGCGTGAAGGGCGTGATGGCGCTGGATGTGTGAGTGGCGTGAGGGTCATGAGTGCGTGAGGGGCGTGAGGGGGATGAGTGCATGAGGGCCGTGAGGGCGGTGAGTGCGTGAGGGATGTGAGGGCCATGAGTGCGTGAGGGGCGTGAGGACGGTGAGTGCGTGAGGCCCGCTACAGATGGAGCAACTTTCCCAGCAATTGTGGTGTTGCCTGGCGGGTTTTTCCATAGCTTTCGCTATATCGACACGAATTGCTGAGATCGGGTTCGGCTCGAAACAAGCGAACAACTCGGAGCGATTTGCAGATGTTTGAAGCGGGTGCAGCCAATGAGGGACGCAATATTTTCACGTGATACCCCGTGCCGGTGATGATGACAACAAAAGACTTGGTTATGGTTTGAAATTGGTCGTTTTTGGAAATCAGCCGTTTCAGTAAGATGAGTTAGTATTCTCAACGAGATTTAAATGCATAAAAACACGTTTATAGCGCGTAATTGTGTGTCTAAATAGTGCAAGAAAAATAAAATTGCATGATGATGACGGCAAATTGCAGCAATTGGTTGCGGCATGTTAACGCGGACGGCCAGTGTTGCTGGTGTTGCGACGTCAAGTTGCTGGGCGAAATTGCCCCGTCTGAAGCGGGCCTGAGTGGCGTAAAAGCCATGAGTGTAGGAGAGGCGTGAAGGGTATGAGTGCGTGAGGCCCGTGAGGTAGTGAGTGCGTAGGGCCGTGACAGTCATGAGTGCGTGAGGGGTATGAGGGCCATGAGTGCGTGAGGGCGGTGAGTGCGTGAGTGGCGTGAGGGCCATGAGTGCGTGAGGGGCGTGAGAAACATGAGCACGCGAGGGCCGTGAGGGCGGTGAGAGGCGTGAGGGCCATGAGTGCGTGAGGGACGTGAGGGCCGTGAGGGGCATGAGGGCCCTGAGGTTCATTAAGGGTGAGTGAAGGGCTGAAGGTGAGTGTGACTGTGAGGGTGAGAGAGGGGATGAAGGTAAGTGTAGCTGTGAGGATGAGGGTGAGTGAGGGAGTTAATTTCCTCTCCTCCTCTCTCTCTTGCTGGTGTCGTTGAGAGAGGCTGATGTTCTTTGTCGGGTTGCCGCCGATATGATGATGGCAACCCCCAATTCCGCCTTGGCCAACGGAGATGTAGCCGCAGAGGGACACCCAGGTGAAGGTTGCGAAAAGATATATATATGATTTATTTACATATATAGTTACGGACTGGGTTACAGATCTTAGGAGCTACGCGAGACCTCTCGGAGTCCTGGTGGCGTCTTGCCCCCTCCGATGCTCAGCGTAAACTCACTTCCTCTTTCCCGCGCGCCCCCAAAATTCCAGGGATCGTCCCCACTTTCCCGGGCGTCTGGTCAGCATCGCCTGTCACCTCGCCGGGTCGCTCCGCACCCCCCGCCGTGTCGTTCCGACCCGGCGGTTCTTCTCGCCGACTCCCCACATTTCCAACCCTGGTGCCCGAGATTCGGGTTACTTCGAAATTCGTTAATTGCCGTCGCGTCCGGGACTCGTGTCCGGGACCCCTGTTTTCTTTTGAGCCCGTCACAAGAAAAAAACCATACAAGAATATATATACAGAACACAGTTTCCCCGAAAGTCCTGGGACCTAACATCTCCCCCCCAACTGTGTTGCTCGGGCTGCAAGAACGAGCAACACACCAAAACAAAAACACAAAGTCTCAGGACATAGACGCGCAGTGTTCACCGTGCAGCCTGGAACGGCGATTAGCTCTAACCTTCCCGTATTACAAAATGAAGCTCTACCCTTCCGGTACATTTGTAGTAAAAGCAAACACGGAAACACAAACACACACACAAAAAAACATGCATTAGCACTAGCACATAATATTATACGGTTAGCACAACTCATATGGGAGGCCCTAGAGATCACTCCACCGAACGTCATGTCAGCCCGGAGCCACACCTCAAGGCCCGCCGTCTCTAGGTCGCAACTCTAAGCCTAGACAACGCATCCCACACTGGTTAATATGCGATATAGTTATCTCGTAGCGCTGGAGCGCAAGGGACCATCGCGTGAGACGCGCGCTGCTCGGGGATGTGAGGGTGAGATACTTCAGTGGATTGTGATCCTGAATTACATGACGCTGCATAGCCTTCAAAGTCCCATTCCACCTCTCAACTAGACCGTCGCTCTGGGGGTGATCTGGAGTCGAGAATCGCATCTCCACCCCCAGCCGCTCTGTTAGCAGTCGCGTCAGTTTTGCCACAAAGTTTGTGCCCTGATCCGAGCAGATCAGTTGTGGCGTTCCGAATCTGGCGAACACACCCACCAATGCGTCACATGTTGCTTGCGCCGTCAATGATCTCAGACAGACTACCTCGGCCCACCTCGTACACAAGTCGACTATGCAAAGCGCGTACCGGTGACCCCTTGCCGAAGGAGGGTCAAGCGGCCCGATACAATCTATGAAAATTGTTTGAAATGGTAGCTCAGGCCGCGAGAGCGGTGTGATCGGCACTCTATCCAGTACGTTTGCCCTCGACTGTACCTGGCACGCATGGCACGACTGGCAGTGTTTCCTGACATCTTGAGCCATCGTTGGCCAAAAGAACGCGCCCTTTATTCTCTTTTTGGTCTTCTTCTGCGAAAAGTGCCCTCCCCATGGGAAGTCATGCGCGAGCTCGAGCACCTTTTCGCGCCTGGACGCCGGCAACAGAACCTGCTCACAATGTCGGCCATCAACGTCATCTTTGTGATACAGGAGCCCCTCGCGCACAACCATGCCGTGTGTCCCGTTTTCAGCCTCCTTCCAGGCATCCCTGAGTGATTCGTCGTTGAGCTGCTCTCTGCGGAATTCTGTTACGCTTGTACCCTCTCCTGCATCAGCCGGACTCGCCACGAACTGCACCTCGGCCTGAATTTCGTTCTCCTCAAAGTCTACTGGCTCACCCCCGAGCCTCTCGGGCAGGTCGGGGCCCAGATCACCGGCTTCAGCTTCAAACTCGGCTTTCGCCCTGAGGAGTTCATCGTACACGTCGAGTGTTATGAGCGCGTCAATTCCCTCAGCCAGCTCCTCTGTTACCGCGCACAGGGTTATAACCTGTGGTCCGGTGTCGTACTCGTCACAGTCGGCCCGCAGCGGCACGTACATCAAGTCAGCTGTTATTGACTGACCGAAGGCTCCGCGGAGAACAATGGGTCCCGAAGTTTCAAGGCTCCCACTTTGGATCACACTCCGCCTGATCACCGTGATATCCGCCCCCGAATCCAACCTCCCCTGGAATTTGTTATGCTCGAATACCAACGGGACCAATTGGACTCGTGACCCAATAGAAGTGTTTGTCGCGATGTCCCTATCGTTTGCCATCACCCTCCGTAGCTGTTCCTTGCGATCGCGCCCTACACCAGCAACGGTACCGCCTTTAGAGACCTTATCCTTAGGCTTCGGGCAGTTGGCCCAAATGTGCCCCAACTTTCCACATCCGAAGCAGCTTCTTTTCTCTGTACCAGAAGCCACGCCTTTATCTTTCAGACTCGGTTTATTCCCCTCGCGATTTGGGAAAGGTGGCCCCTGTTTAGCCCTCGATTCCTTCTGCGTTCGTTCATAGTTTACCGCAAGTTTGGCCACTTCTGCGGGCGGTAACCATTTTCCTTTTTCGCTCAGGTCGACATATGCTCTCGTGTCTCGGTGCATCGTGCGCTTTAGCTGATCAGCTATCAGCAGCTGCCTCAGCATCTCCATAGATGTCACCTCGCTACTTTTCAAATAATAACCAAGAAAATCGCCCAGACGAGATGCAAACTGTCCCCAGGACTCCTTTTCGTCCTTTCTAGCTTTGTAAAACAGCTCCCGATACTCCGCTGGAGCAAGCTGAAGCTCCTCAAGCACCGCTCCTTTTAAGTCGTCGTACGACGGCATCGCGTCAGCAGCGATTCGGTTTGCGACCGATCTCATTCTCTCCGTGAGGAAGGGGAGGATCATTGCGCCCCTGATGCTTTCCGGCACGTGAAGGCTATTGAACATACTCTCCACCCCGGAGAACCACGAAGGCACCAACGGTTCGAACTCTGGCATGTTGGACAATACGCCCCTTACAATCCGCGAGTACCTAAGTACCTCGTCCCCCTCCGTTCGGGCAGCGCTGGCTCCCGACGTGGTGTCCTGCGCCCTGGCAAGTCTAGCCACTTCCAGCTCCAGTTTTAGCTTCTCTATCTCCATCTCCATTAGTTCATTTCGGAGCTGCAAAGCGTTACTGTCCATATCGGACTCCCCTTCTGCCCCCAATTCACTACTGCTTTCAGACGACTGGCCTTTCTTGGTGTTTGCTCGCGTACCCAACATGACGCCCAGAGGAGAACAACAAAGGGACCTCCCACCTGGTTGTCGTGATCGCCACGATCACGGGCCGCTGTTAGTCCCGGATAGCTGCACCAGGCTTGGCCGCTGCCGACTTGTGGCACTGTGCAGATCAGATGTCTTGAGGAGCAGTGTCTGCAGCAATCACCAGCTGCTTTCCCGTCACACCTGCGGCGACGGTCGAACGTCTCTTTTCCGGCGAGCTTCCACGGCTCCTCGTCGCACCTGCGGCGACAGCCGGACAGTGAACGTTCTCCGATGGTCTCGTCGACCTTGCGTCGCAGTTCCACGACGATTGGATGCTTGTTTCCGTATCCGTCAAGCTCTTCCAGCTCGCTGTCGCACCACCGGCGACAGACGGACACTCAGCACTTTCCGACGATCTCGTTGGCCTTCTTCGCAACCCTGGCGACGGCCTGACGTCTTGTGTCCGGCGAGCTCCTGCGGCTCCTGATCACACCTACGGTGACTGCCGGGCACTCCACGTCGTCTGGTGTTCTTGACCCCACGCCGCACTCACGGCGACAGTCGGACGTTGAGGTGTCTGCGCCCAAGGAACTCCTGCGGCCCACTGTCACACCTTCGGCGACAGCCAAACACTCGACGTCCTTCTAGGGTCGCAGCTTCACTTCGTCACTCCAACGGCGACGAGTCCCAGTCATTCGTCATCTTCACCTGCAAAGCTCTTGGTGTCCCTTGTGATGAAGGCAGCTTTCTCATCCGAAAGGCGGTGGCGGAATCCTTGCCGACTGCGCCAGTAAATTTCCTCTCCTCCTCTTTCTCTTGCTGGTGTCGTTGAGAGAGGCTGATGTTCTTTGTCGGGTTGCCGCCGATATGATGATGGCAACCCCCAATTCCGCCTTGGCCAACGGAGATGTAGCCGCAGAGGGACACCCAGGTGAAGGTTGCGAATATATATATATATGATTTATTTACATATATAGTTACGGACTGGGTTACAGATCTTAGGAGCTACGCGAGACCTCTCGGAGTCCTGGTGGCGTCTTGCCCCCTCCGATGCTCAGCGTAAACTCACTTCCTCTTTCCCGCGCGCCCCCAAAATTCCAGGGATCGTCCCCACTTTCCCGGGCGTCTGGTCAGCATCGCCTGTCACCTCGCCGGGTCGCTCCGCACCCCCCGCCGTGTCGTTCCGACCCGGCGGTTCTTCTCGCCGACTCCCCACATTTCCAACCCTGGTGCCCGAGATTCGGGTTACTTCGAAATTCGTTAATTGCCGTCGCGTCCGGGACTCGTGTCCGGGACCCCTGTTTTCTTTTGAGCCCGTCACAAGAAAAAAACCATACAAGAATATATATACAGAACACAGTTTCCCCGAAAGTCCTGGGACCTAACAGAGGGGCTTAGGTGAGTGTGGCTGTAAGGGTGGGGGTGAGTGAGGATGACCTAAAATGTCAACCTCTGGACTCAGGTGGTGTGATCCGACGTTACCGAAACTGCGACCATCTAGTGGGTGCTGCGCGAGACTGATATGCGCGGCTGTCCTCAACATATGCGGTTTATTAGGCGGCGCGTTAAAACAGCTGTCGTGGATGTGCGGTAGCCTGTTTGCTTTGCAATCAGTTAACCCAGGATTGAAAACTAAGAAACCCGCGAAGGGGTTTTGGGGGACTTTTTGATGCACTTCCCGATAGCGACGACAGACTCCTTACATCCTTTCGTGTAGGGGAATAGTCCATAACACTAAGACTGCCAAATGGCCTTCCGCCACTGTCGCCGCGTGGTAGCGCTCGCTGCCCGAGGAAGGCTCTGCCGGTGGGACGTCCACTTACTTTAGGCGGGACTAACGGCAGCAAATGCGCCGTCGCTAAGCCGATGGCAAACGGAGGCTGGGGCAATGTGTTGGAGACAACCAAAAGAACCGATGGCTGCTTGTTCAGCAGCGGGCATAAACAAACCCCACTGGTTAGGTGCCAAATACCCGACGGTACCCCCCGATTTAAACAAAGGAAATAACCCGAAGGAAAACTCCATCCATGTAACCCTGTTTGGCAGTCAATGTTTTCTAGTGGACCGCTGACTGTGCCTGACTGTACGTCAAACATGTCTGATTGGCCAACAAGTTACTCTGACCGACAGTCAAACTCCAGTCAGACTCCACTTGTCGGCTTTCTGATGGTTTTCTGGTGGCAGTCGGCCGCCGCGAAATGTCATCAAGATGTCTTGGTGGCGATTCTGATTGTACATCGATTGTCTCTGACTGTACGTCAAAAAGCTCGGCGAAGCTCGGCGAAGCTCGGCGACGCTCGGCGACGCTCGGCGAAGCTCGGCGAAGCTCGGCGAAGCTCGGCGAAGCTCGGCGACGCTCGGCGAAGCTCGGCGAAGCTCGGCGAAGCTCGGCCGAAGCTCGGCCGAAGCTCGGCCGAAGCTCGGCGAAGCTCGGCGAAGCTCGGCGAAGCTCGGCGACGCTCGGCGACGCTCGGCGAAGCTCGGCGACGCTCGGCGACGCTCGGCGACGCTCGGCGAAGCTCGGCGAAGCTCGGCGACGCTCGGCGAAGCTCGGCGAAGCTCGGCGAAGCTCGGCGAAGCTCGGCCGAAGCTCGGCCGAAGCTCGGCCGAAGCTCGGCCGAAGCTCGGCCGAAGCTCGGCCGAAGCTCGGCCGAAGCTCGGCCGAAGCTCGGCCGAAGCTCGGCCGAAGCTCGGCCGAAGCTCGGCCGAAGCTCGGCGAAGCTCGGCGAAGCTCGGCGAAGCTCGGCGAAGCTCGGCGAAGCTCGGCGAAGCTCGGCGAAGCAATAGAGGCTTTCATGAACGATCGCTCTCGACTCGTTTTGTTTGCCCGCTTGCTCCAACCTGTCGATTCTGCCCGGGCTCTACAACGTCTTATGTTTTAGTAGAATTTCTACTCGACAAGACCCAGCCTGTTGTGAGTTCCGACGATGTAAGGGACTTTAGCGGTGTAGTTGAAGACGACAGGGTGTACCAGGTCTACAGGGCCGGAGACGCGCGAGCGAAAGGATCGTTCTACGACGCGAAAGTACTCTACATGGCAGGTGAGTAGAACTGAAGTACGGCGAGTGATGTACGAGTGCTTTGCATAACATGCTGAAGACTTAACTGCATTTGCAGCCGAAGCATCTCGTATTAAACGAATGATCAAATCGAGTTTCCCAAGCGATGGCTTAGCATAGGGGTTGAGGTGTTCGATTTGTATGCAAGTGGTCGCGGGTTCAATCCGCGGTGGTCCTGCTTTTTTATTTTTTTTCCTCGAACATTTTGTTTGATCGAGGCATTTGGCGATATCTATCAGTGCGTATAGCTTTACTCTGATATAAATGCTGCCCTTGTTGATGAAATTCCCTTGGCAGTGGCAGTCAGACGTCATCTGATGGACCATGAGATGACGTCTGATGGTCCATCACGTTCCACCAAGGCTGCTGACTGGCAGTCAGTGTCCCAAATTACGTATCTTGATGGAATTTTCAATTGGGAACCACAAAATCAGCATCATCATCATCATGTGGTGAAGGAATCTTGCGTCTGGCCAACTTGTTTACTCGTGTCCGACCACAAGCTGATGCAGTGTTTTTTTGGAAAGTACAGCCGCCTGGCGGAGCACTACAGAAACAGAGTAATTAACCTTTTTCTGCTGGTCGGTACGCGTATGGAACGGCCGGAGGGGAGTTTTTTTCACTAGTAATCTCGGAGACCATGCTCAGAGTCAGTGTATCCATTCCACGTATGATAAAGCTCTCCCGAACGCGGGGACAACTAAAGATCGCGGCAATAAATTCATTTCTAAGTAAGGCAGTTATAAAGAAGGTTCTTACTACTTAGGAGTTTACTATATGTCGTTCTGGAGCGGTTGGAATGACCACCGCGGTCGCTGGTGCGCTTGGCGTAAACACAACGCTCGCGTCGGCGTTCGAATGTGTCCTTAGGCCCTAAGAAGAGCATAAAGCCGCTCCATTTTTACGGGATGGCGCCCGGAGAGGGGGGAGGGAGGCAGCGCGTTTGTCCCAAATGAAACTCGTAAAAGAAAAGGAGCGATGTCGTTCCCTTCAAAAAAAAAAAAAAATAATAATAATAAATTATAAAAAAATACCACCCCGAAATTAACCTTTTACGCGACTTGGCGCAGTCGTCAATTTCAGTTTCAGAGGACAGTTAAAAAGGTTATGGCTACGCTCCGTCGGACCGCAGGGGAGCGGCGCGTCCCGTGTACGGGGACGGAGGCATCGATGCTGCTATAAACTCGCCGTGTGTGGTGTCCGCCAATCGTAATGCGAGGATTGTCCTCGGTCTTCTTGGCCGCTCGTTACGTGCATCGACTTTATGAGGAACATTGCAAACTTTGCCCTTGCTTTGAGCAGCGTGCAGCCACTGTCGCCTCGGAAACCGAACTGAAATTGAGACGACGCGAAGGTTGCGGTATACGCAGACAAAAAAAAGGCGTAAAGTGTAAACCCCCGCCCCCCCCCCCCCTTTTTTGTATCTTTATTTTGTTAATCTAGTGCTTTTGTCCGTGTGGCTTATTCCTATATGGTATATCTGGTCCATGACAAGAAAACAATAATGAAAATCGAAATGAAAACCGCTATCTCAGGCGTATATAGCCTCGTGCACTCTTGCTCGTGAAAGAAGTACCGAATCATTGACGTGACGCTTAAAACGCTGTCAGATTTGATATATTTTAATGAAGATTATCAGAGTTTTTTTTTTATTCTTTATGGTATATTTACAGGACCCGCATATATATCTCGGGATACGGCGAAAGTTATAAAGTCGGTTTGCGTAACGCTTTCCGCACTCTTGATGGGGGTCTGACTGATGTATCGAAATGCAGCTGCTTTGTCAGCTGTTTAATGTGTAACGAAATTTTAAAAAATGACGTGTTTTTTTTTAACGGTCTGGTTCCGTGTTACAGGCAGTATCAAATTCTCGGAAATATGTATTAGCCCTGTAAAATTTATCCATCTTATTATTCGTGCTGAGAAAGATATCTTCACTCTTACTCACGTAATCGGCAT